CACGCACAGATATTGATGCTGATTTGTGTGTAAGAAACTCTGACACCATTCACCCCTCTCCAGGTTCAAAGACCAATGCTGAGCAGTTGAAGATGATGACACAAACTGCTGAACTTCTTCGGAAAGCCCAGGAACAATTGGCCAAGTGGCCAGGCTGCATTATCCACCGGTGGATCAAATCAGTGTAAAGAAAGGCCTTTGTATCAAGAGTCATATGATCTTCTCATTGTTTCCAAAGATGTGTAGATCCGAGGGCTATTTCTCAGATTTTTCTCATCCCAACTTGAGGATACAGGAAAGAAAGGCTTCGCTAAATCAGCAAATTGCAAGCATGAAGGCCCAGCCGATGGAGGTCGAAAGTGGGAAACCACCTGCTGCGGTGAAAGGCTTGAAGTTCCAAAGCTTGTTTTTGCTAAATCCCGCTGGTTGACGTTTGGTTCAATCTTGTTTCTCCACCTTCCCCAAATTTTCAAGATACTTGAAACCTTCAGATCGACCATGTATAGCATCATGGCATATATCAACCATGTATTATACTGCAAATCCCTGCGCAGGCCCCCTGCCACCTGCCATCAACCCTGAGAACTTAGAGACGCAGCCCGTGGATGTGATGAAGTTACCGGTCGAGACATCCCCTGTGCCTACGGGGTCTCCCACACTCTCCACTTCAGCCCTCCGAGCTCAGTTCCAGAATCGCCCGGCTCCACCTTCGACAGATGCAGCGACAGATCCGCCTGTGCCAGTGCCAGAGGTGGGATGGTTCACAAGTGTCATGGGCCTAAGCCATGACATCAATTCCTGTCAAGTCATGTCATATGATTTCAGAAGGATCGTGTATGTACATATTTGAATCACATGTTTAAAAAATGCGCTGCCAGACCTTGATTCTGCTTTATATAGCCTTTATAGCAGGGGCAGTTGTATAAAGACATGTTGTTGACACGTGTTTTTGTCCGTTATAATACATTAGCGCTGCTGACGTTTTCCTATGTAACGACGGCCTGTGATTGAAACAGAGTGATCAAGTTGTATCGTTTTGATTCAGGTCAAGTTGTAGCGTGTCCAATCAGAATTTTGACTCATGAAGATCGCATCATATTGTGCCAAACAAAGATATATGTCCATCATGCTGGCATCACAGGAGTCTTATATATTTTCTTTTCTTTCAAGGTATATAATGTCATATCTTGTTACTTCATCCCAAATCATTCAACACTGTTTTGTTACTGTCCGCCTTGGTTTTCATGTGTGGTACCACATCCTTTGCAGCTTTGTGTGTGTCATGTCATCTCAGTTCGAAACATCATATGTATATATCTTAAAACACTTCAGCATTTTCAGGCTGTGGGTTCATTTCATATTCCTGTCCCAAGTTGTTCCAAGCCGTGTCACGTTTTAGATAAGCCACTGATTCCAAACACTCTATAGTTTGAAAACATCGTTATAAGAGAGAGGGAGAGCTGAAGTCGTTTTTAATGGGTTTGTTGGTCAATGTGTTTCCCCTTTGAAGGTGCCAGTGGCAAAGCCGGAGGAAGGGAACGAGGGGTCTGAGGGCAAACGGGATGGCAAGACCCAGATTGTCACCAAGAATGATCAACTACAGTTGAAACAGACTTCCAAGGGGAGTCGCAAGGCAGGGAAAGGTAAGAAGGGAAAAGGTAAGAAATCCAAGAAAAGAAAACCCAGGAGTGGCAAAGGTAAGAAGGCAGCAGGCGGCAAGAAACACAAGAAGGAAAGCGCAACCCCAGAAGCCCTCCACACCAGCCCGAGCAAGCGTAAGAGAGAGGTTCTTCGTAAAGCCAAGTCCAGGGCCAATATCGATGAGCAACCTGTGGAGTTTGAAGCACCTGAGAAAAAGACGCGCAGAACGCGTTCCCAGCCATCTGCGCCCAAAACCAAACCCGCCAAGCCTGAGCCAAAAGGAAAGGCAAAGGCCAAAGCAAAGGCGAAGGCCAAAGCTTCGCCAAAACCAAAAGCCAAAAGCTCTGGCAGGGGACGGGGAAAAGGCAGAGGCAGGGGAAAAGGCACGGGAGAGGAAGATGGAAGGGAAAGCCACCACTTTGACCATGAGTTGTCTGACAAGTTACGCGACTTTGTCAAGACGTTCGACCCCAAAAGTGCTCCGACTTCTCCCAAGTACAAGGCTGAGGTTCGATCCAAGGTGGCTGATTTGGAGAACTTTTCCTACAACATCTATTGGCGCCGGTCAGGTTGTGGGGTGACCAGCCATACTCAAAAAAAGGATGTGGCGAACTTCACCTTCACTCAGAGCTCCGCTCCCGAGTCCTACAAATCGGCACTTGCTGTCAAGTGCGCTGAGATGTATGTAACTTGACTGTACAATGCAAATTATGATAACAAATCACACCAATGTATAACATATATTTGCGCAATGCTTGCCATGTTCCTGTCGATAAAACAATGTCTTGCATAAATGACGTGGACCCCTCCATGTATTTTGGGCTTTGCGTACAGTCGTGAACTACATCTTTTACAGGGTTCCATGTCGCCTTCGAAGGGTTTTTTCTATATACGCGTTCAAAGTACAGTCGGGCACGTATATGTGATGTGAGCTTATCACAGCTCCAAGGTCATGTGGCCAAACCCTTTTCCTTTATATATAACTTTAAGCCTGTGGCCCAGGCGCTTCATGCAGAGACTCTGGAGGAGTCCATGCTTGAGAAGGATCCGCAGTTTGAGGAGAAATTGAAACACAATGCTCACCTTGTCCTGTTCGAGTTTGCCAATGAGAGAAGCGATGAATCGTGATTGCGCATGGATCCGAAAGGAATGTGGTCCATAATTTTGGGGACAACTGCCAGTTCTGGCGGAATTGCTGGATGGACAAACTTAGGCCTGCCCTCGAATTGTTATAGGCCCATGACGTTGACTTCATATGATGATGGATGTGCGTAAACATTCTATAATTGCAGGTTTGTTGTATGAGAAACACTGGTCTGTTGGTAAGTATCAGCCTTTTTTCATATCATGACGCTATACCTCGAAGAATCTGCAATGAAGCTGTTTGCTTTTGACATCAAAAGGGGGTGTCGCATGTCTATAAGGGCATCAATGAAAAGGCAGGCGCGTTTGTGTTGGGGCCGTGTTTTAAACACGCATACAGAAGGGGAGGCCAAAGAGCATGGCATCACTCGACAAAAAAGGGTTGGATGGGAGTGTGCTGGGATGATCAAGTTCACAGTGCATCGGCTGAGTTCACCCCCCATCAGCTACAACATCATGAACAGTATGACCTTGGATCCATTGATCCCACCAGTATCTTGCGATCCAGACCTCCCGGCCCTGGCAGGCCTTGTCTTGACACGCCTGGGCAACGGCGCCTCAGAGGGGCCGTTTGGAAAGTCCGCGGGAAGTTCAAGAAGGAACGAAAGAGACGAGGAGGAGTTACTGGCATGATTGTGTGCATACGATGACTGACGCTAAACCGCTGTGATGCTAAACCACTGCGCTTTATAGACGGGATATACATGCGCATATAAATATTTTTCGAGAGAATCCCAAAGTGTCATCATTGCATCAATAAAGACTTTCCTGATGCGCATGTAAACCGATTAGTATGAACATATCACCTTATGGGGCATCCAGTCGATGCAGTTGCGCTGAAAAACTGGAGCCGTTTCAAAGGATCTGCCTCTGTTTCGTCTCTCTACCGACAGACCTGCAGCCATGGAGACGGAATGCGCAGAGCTGGATATTTTGTTCTTCCAACTTCTCACTTTGGGATGCCCCAAGGTCAGAATCTGAGTCTAAGCATTTGTATAAATATATAGTTTAAGATCAATCAAAGAATGATGCGTGTCTCCTGTTGATGTATTGTGCGTTTACTGATGCGCATTCAATTGTTGACTATATACAAGGATACAGAAACATCTGCGTGCTCAATTGCTTGAGACTGGATTCATGTCACTCCGTATACACGCTCTCCCAATGTTGAAACATCACGATGATTGTTATATATAACAATTTTTTGTTGGCAATGTCGGACCCATGTACCAAGAAAGGCCAGGAGACCCTAAAAGGCAATTTTTGGGCGCGACCTTTTTAACATGGTTTAGAAGCTTGTTATAGACATATATATAAGAAAGGTCGCGTCCAAAAATTGCCTTGTAGGGTCTGTTGGCTCATGTTGGTAGAAAGGATCGAGTACGACTTCTAATATATCTTTTGCAATCGGTTGAATAGAAGAGCTTCACCCTTTTGCCTCTTCCACCTGGCATCCCTCGACTCAGGTCTTGGCCCTCATCATCTTGATGATCCTGTGGACGCCCACTATTTATTCCGGTCAGGAGCTTCAAGGGTTCAAAGAGGACACATGTGAGTCATAACTTATATATATATACTGAATGGAACAGTGTAACCATGCAAGCGCTCTACACTAAAAGCTGCTGGTCCACTAGCGTGAGTCTTCCAATACTTGAGGTCGTATACCTCAATTGTTATAAAATCGGTTTCCAATTCACATCGACTGCGCAGGACACATCGCTGGACATGGTGGAATTCTTTGCCGGGTGTGGCAGTCTTACCCGGTGTATGAAGTTGTCAGGGCTGACCGCTGCCAGTCTAGATATCAAGTACCAGGGGTCCAAGCAACCACGCATCTACTCCAGCAATGCTATGGATATGACCTCGTGTTCTGGTTTCTGGCAAATTGGCAGCAGCACGTGTGGCTCGTATTGGTTAGAAGTTCCAAGTTACAATATGTTACAATACTGATTGGTTTTGAAAGATGATTGAAAGATGTTCATGGGAAAAAGAATCGCTCTATGATGTATATAGATGGCGTCACTTTGATCTTTTTGGTGTGTTTGTCTTAAGCAGGGGGGCCGTTTGTTTTGGACAGTGATTAAAACAACTCGTGATTAACAATGGCTTGTACACAACTCAACCATACATTGGGAACATAAAAGTTTGCCATTGTTTAAGAGAAATATACATGAAACATTGTTGCTTATATACGCGTGTATAAATCATGAAGCAAAATGACTTTACAAGCCTTGCATTCCAGCAAGCTTTGGGTCCCTCCCAGTCCCAGTCCCTTGGGCCACATCCGGCTGAGTCTTTGCCTTGTGGCCCTGCTCCAGAGCAACCACCATCACTTCCTGGCGACGTATGCGCTCCGTTGTGCATCTTTCACCCCGGTGAACCGTGGGACATCGGGTCGGTCGGCGTGTTCATCTCTGGGATATGAAGAGCATCAATCTGTTGTTGTATCCAATATGCTTGCAGTAAGGAATCTTCAATGCATTTGGACTTTTGAAACATGTACTCATTGGCTTTGTGGCTTTGCACGCTGTTCGGATTTCATTTGGCTATATGGGGGAAGTGTTCACAATACGGAATCAAGAGGACTTACCACTATCACGCATGGAGTCCCTTCGGATTGAAACCTGAAAGTCTACCCGGCTAAGGACCGTTCTGCTGTGCCTGGTGACCACAGCCCTGGGAGGGCGCTGGTGGATCGAACAACCCGGTGGAAGTTGCATGAGGTTCTTTCCGCCGTTTAGACAACTCCTGACGAATCTCTACAATGCAGTAGGAGGCACTGCAGTCCCAGCCCTAGGTGTGTTTCGACGATGATTCATCAAGATATATACGACGCCGTCGTGAGTGCATGGTCACCATGAAGCAATTAAAAACTTCATGTCCCTGATCGTTCACGATGTTCCATTATATACTTGGGACGAGACAAACTTGAGACATATATGCCTTTATAAAACGGACACTCGGGTTGGACACTGTGTTTTGAACTCTTGCGTGGATGCACAGATCATCATCCTCATTTGTAACCTTATATTGCCTTAGCTGCGGAAAGCCATTTGCCCAGGTCACTCGATGCACGTGGCATATGTGGCATTATGGGGCAAGTACCCCAAAGCCACATTACTGCTACTCCAACTCGGAGGCTGCGGAGAAGCTGCACAAGGGGAAGTTGTCAGGGTATAAGCGGCAAAGGGAACAAGAGGGCCGTCCCAGGGTTGAAACATGCGAAGTCTATGTCGACAAGAAAGGCAAGACATGCTTCAAAGGAACACCAGCCCTTACTCTCACGGAGACCCTCAGCTGTATATAAACAAGAAAGCATAAGAAAGCGTTACTCTTTCCATTGAACAGTGTTCTGAGGAATTATGAGCGATGCAGGTGGTTGAACAGTGTTGTAACAGTGTTCTAGTGTTCTCTCTCCTCTCTGTATATATCGTGTGTTTTAATCAAAGGTATCTTGACTGGTTTTCCCAGAGGTGCTGCCGACTCTAAGGCAGTACCCAATTCCTTTTGGAAGGAAGATGGTGGATCTATACTCTGAGTTCACTGGCACAGCCCGGGGTTGGGTCCAACCGCCTGATCCAGTGCCCAGTGCCATGGAGTCCTTCGAGAAAATGACGGAGGATGGTGGCTTCAGCCTCGAGATGGCTGGCTTAGGGGAGGTGTACTTGTACCTCCGTAAAGGGAGGCACCTCAAAATCCCGAACCATTGGAGAAAGCATTTGCCGAAAGATGGCAAATTTGGAACCGGTGGGGACCTGAAATCCGACTGAATACAAAAGTATGTTTTCATGTTTCTATAGTATAATCGAAATCAATATTGTAATCCTTTGGGCTGCTGTTTTGGTATATTTCGGAAAACTGGAAGTGTACTATACACAGCGGTCTTACCAACTTTAATGATGCATTATCGCTTTTTGACTGATTTTGTTGATTTTTGATTGTCCGATATGACAAAAACATGGGGACCCCAACTTTATCCCGAACTTATCCCGTATTCTGCCCGTACTAAACCCGTATTTCGAAAATTTTGATAAAAACCCGTCTTTTAGAAACCCGTAATTAACCCGTCAAAAACCCGTAATTAACCCGTACGAACCCGTAAATAAAATATGGGTTTTTTGGGGTCAGGTTCCTGCGTCATCATCTGGGCTTTTTGGCCCGATGATGTCTTTTGCAACCGTCGAGATAACAATTCGAGGGGAAAATTGTGGATCCGTCGGCGTGCGCTGATCGGTTTTGCAGCCCATGTCCCATTCATATGCATGTTGCTGGTCACGATTGTGAACATTGGTATCCATATCGAGCATTTTGCTGAAAGGTATAGTTGTAGGCTTGACCCTTTTCCAAAAGGTGCGCGTGATGACTTCCAAAGAGAGTCTCCATCCGACCACTCGACATTGGAGCTGTAGCACGTTGCGGGATGGTGTTGATTGTCTTCTTCAAGAAGCTGACCAAATCGAAGCGGAAGAGCTTGATCTAAAGAAGATCATGGAGGATCGTCGGGATTTCTGGTTCACATATATACCTCAACTCTGGAATGTATAGCTTTAAACAGCTGAAAAAGCGAAATTCAATAATATATAAGTTATATACATCTTTGTTTGTTGCGTCCTCGCTTTTTTGGCGGTCATCTGCAGGAAATGCAGATGAAGCTTGAAGAAATGAAACTATCCAGCGTTGCTTCTCGGCTTTCAGTTTATTGGCTGCCCATGCACCAAAATATAGATTCGATGTTCATAGAAGCTTAAGCATGGATGCCTTAAGCTCCCCAAATGGCCTGGTATATACGCAAGATGTGTACGTCAGTGTGCGATTTCTTATCGACCATGCAAATTGATTTTAAATTGTTCACATTGGGTCACCTTTCACATTGGATGACCTTTTTGTACCGCTGGCTCCGCCGGCCCAGGCTGCCCCGGCTACTCCACATCCGGAAGCTCCAGCTCCAGGTCCATCTGCACCACCAGCTGCACCTGAGGTGGAAACTTTGGAAACACAACCTGCAACTTGGTCTCTATACCAACCATGGTGGGATACAGTCAAGGTGTTTGTGACAATTCAATTACTGTGACGACTATGCCGTGCCAGTTGCTGTTTATTAATGTTTATATAAATGAGGCAACCGACGCTGAATTGACTGCAGCTTATGGCGACCATGTCCGGGCTACCAGTGTTGAAGGGACCACTGCTGGTGAAAAGGCCTTGAAGAATAAATAAAAAAAAGATGAATAAACAGAAAGAAATGGGTTTTGGGAAACATTTTTCAACCTCCCAGGCGATGCACCTATACAACATGACTCATGTTATACTTTATAAATCATGATCTTGCAGGTCGACCCTCCACTGACGTCAGAGTCAAGGCCTATTCCTACTCCTATTCGGGCTGGCCCTGGCGAGACCGAGATCCCAAAGACCCAGCCGCAACCTGCTGGGGACTCTGCTGGGGAGCAACCTGCTGGGGAGCAACTTGCTGAATCCCTCCCAGATGGCAACGATTCGATGGTGGGGCAGGAAAGCAGTTCCGCTACTCCTCTTTCCAAGCATGCTACTCGAAAGGACCGTTTTATGCCATGAGTGGCAGTTTGTTCAACACCTTTCAGTATACAGAATGATCCATTTTGGGGATTTGCATGTTAATTCATTCTATGGATTTGTTGGGTTGTATACAGGTTCAAATCATCTCAAGACCATCCTCATGGTTATTGATGTTATTGGTCTACCCTGGGAGGAACGATTGAGGGAGGCTGCAAAGCAACGACTTCGACGTCTTTGCGCTGCCAAACGTAAGCGCAAGGATCTAGAAGTCCCCGAATGGGTCCGTGATGAGTTTGCGGCTCGAAATAAGAATGATTTGGCAGATTTACTCATGGACTGCAACTGGGATAAGGCAAGGTCCAATCATGTTCAAAGACTCTTTTATAGCACGTTTTGCATGTATAGCCATGATCTCAAATTTGTTTCCCATATTTTCCCATCGATTCCCATGCTCCAGAACGCCTTCCTCTTGCAGCTCGAGATTGTGGTCAAGAAGAAAGCCTCAGTGAAAGTCACCCGGGACTGGCAGTGGGTCAGTGAAAAGGAAATGAGGGATGACCTTGGATGGAGCGCGTGCCATGTCACAATCATGGTGAGTGGGCTTTATGTTTTTACTTCGTTTCTGTCAGGCTCAATGTTTCAATCAGTGCACCTGTGTTTCAGTTCAGAGTATACATCAAGCTCAGGGCCCGCATTGCTGGCGCAAAGAAATTGTGTGAGGCCAAGAGGGCCACGCACATCAGGCGTGGAAATTGTTGAAACCAATTGGGTGTGATGTCGATCAAGTGGTAATTGATTGATGCCATGTCTCCACGATGAAAAAGTATGTTAGCACAAAGAATGGGTGTCCGAGATTTGTTGGAACATCTTTGTAACCGAGTGGTCTGTGGAAATGGGGTACCATAGATCGTGGATGCAAAGTGCAAAGATGCAAAACATGTGAAGTGAACAAGTTTTGAGGTATATTATTGTCTGAAGACACCTTCCATTACAATGTTTCTTATATGATTGAACAATCAATATTCGTTCTGCTTTGCCTGCAAAGGCAAAACCAATACGATGGGGTGGACGAGTACTACGTACTCGTCAAAGAGACCGGCCAGCACGAAGAGGAAGAGACCCAGGAGGAAATCCGAAAGAAACGTGGTACTTTGGAGGCCGGGCCGTAAGACCATATCTCTTTGAGGTGACCAACCTGTATATATAGAATGGATGTTCCTCCTTGCATGGGTGTATTCATGATGAGCAAAGCACGACAATATACTTAAGACGCACTTCAGAATGCACCATGCCACAAAAAGGAGTACAAACACATTGCATACAAACACCGTCCCTGTTCTCGCCCCGTTTGCTTCAGGAATCCGAGGCTCCTTCGATCACTTCCAGCTTCGATGGCCTGAAAGCTCATGCGGCTAGGGCAGCCGCTGAGAATGCTGAACCGAAGACCGGCGGAAAACTAACGGAGACCCAAAACATGGAGGCGATTTGGGTGATTGGTTCAACCTGTTTTGGACTGCATGGATGAATGAACAGACCATGCATGGTGGTATATTACATTATATATGGATAATGGCTTCGTCAAGTGATGTTGATCTTTATACACATGACAATGAATGACAGCATTGTACCCGATTCATTTGTCCTTTACTGGCAGACCAAGAACGCCGTGCAGAAGTTCTTGGATAGCCTGCTCCAGAAATCTGGAAAGCTTCGAGGACTTATCCGGGAGCTAGATGATTGCTATGCGAACAGCAGTGTGATGCAAACGCAGGATTCTTACCACATTGCTTGCGTTATACATATTCATATAAGAGCGCATGTGTGGCCCAAGGGTTGCCTCCCACGAAGTCTTCAAATATATAGCCCTTAAGGTATGTTGCCAGTCTGACGGCGCAAGTGGCGAAGTTGGATGAACAGTATGATACCATCAACTTGGTCCTTGCAATGGGCGCAGCTGAGAATTATGCCGCATCGTTTCCGGGCCATATCTGTATATATAGTTCTTGAAACATCGGTCACACTCTGTCGCTGATTGGTGGGCCATTTCTGTTTTGGGCCTAGCCCCAGCTATACATGTCTGCCTAGCCGTCAGGTTCGTCCATGAGGCAAACAGCAAAATGAAAGCTGCGACGTATGTGTGCGGGCCTGGGCTGTATCTCAAACATGTGTTATGAGTACTGATTTGTCGATGTAGACACGGACACACATTGCTTATATCTGTTCACACTATATCTCTATAGAGGTGCTTTGGGGTCTGTCTGAGTTCATGACTTGTTTAAATTGAAGTTATACTATACATCCCATGGGCCCAGGGCCAGCGCTGCAGCGGCCTTGGAGATGAAGACCAGGAGCTGAAGCATTGGGACCTCATGTGGCACGGGTTGGCGCAAGGAATATTTATATGCAGAAGAATTTCCATTTGACCCCAATACCATGAATGTTCAGAAAGAATGTTCTTTTTCTGTATATAAAACGATCATAAAGGTTCAGGGGTGGTGGTGTATACAAATGACTTTGGGTACAACCGTTGACTGCGCAAAGGCGCATTTCTGAGTATTCACACAAAACACATGGTGCAAAATATTGTAATTCAGGATTACTAAAGTATGTGTGTGTGTGTGTAAGCAGCGATGGCGTTTATGTTTGTATATATAGATGTGATTGTGTTTGGACTTGCCTTCTTTTTCGTTTGCAAGATAGCTTTCACAACGACAATCGAGTTCGACCAGTATATATATTTGTATACTGCACAGATATACGGACCACGTTTCACGCAGGAATGCGAAGAAGTATGAGAAGAAGTCCACTGCCGACCCTTCTGACCAGGGCGGTCAGAAAGCACCCAAGGGCAAGAACAAAGCCGCTAAGGGTGTCAAGGATGAGCCGGCTGTGGAGCCTAAGGGTTCCAAACGTAAGGGCCGTAAGGACGGTGACGGTGCAAATGTGCCTTCCCGAAAGCGCGGCAAGTAAAACACTTGCTTGGCAGGAGTTGAATTTTGATATATTTTTGCAACTTTACGCTGTGAGTGCCAACCTGTGGGAAACCTTGATCTTCAGGCTAGAACCTGCAGTTGGAACAGCGTTGATTGAAATCTTCATGAAATCCTCGCAAAGCTTTAAAGCTTAGGAGTGTGTTGTGGATCCTCCTTACTGAACTCATGAAAGTGAACGTGCTTGCTCAAACATTACCAATCAAGCGCTTTTGGCAAACGCCATCCTATATATTTCCATGAGCCGCTCATCATGTTAAGGGAGAGATCCACCCGCGACACACACACATGAAAGAAGTTCTGATCTTCGGTCATTGGGGAGATGGCCGGGCTGGAGAAAAATCTCGATACCGGTGATGGATCTTGACAATGGTCGTTACAGGGGCCTGTTGTGCATATCCTATAATATATATGGTACAGTTTTGAATTTGATGGTCACACTCCTCTACGCAAAATCTTTGGAACAAAGAAAAATATGTATATATATATGAGATACTGCCACCCTTGTTTCCCTGAGAGTGGTTTGGGGGACACCACACCTCTTCCAACTGAGCACTGCTTCACATGCCAGGAGCTGGGCATGCACTTCGGACGATCGCTGGCGATGTGGGAGAAGGGGCCGCGACCTCAAAAGCCGGGCTCACTTGACCCTGTCTATTTGGTTGTATACTTGCGCCGATTCAAGTGCACATTGGGCTCGACTGCAGGCACCCCAAGTGCCCAGTACAAAAAGCAGAACTGGTAATGTAGCCATAACCTTTCTGTATTTTTTTAAAATTAGAACTATATATACTGCATCAAACTTGAAGGGAAGTCATATATATATGTGCATAGATGGGGCATGGCAATTCCAGAGCTTAGTGGGCATAGAACCATTGACACATTGTGTTTGCCAATTCATCAATTGAAAGTACAAAGTGCGCAAAACAAAGAACAAGACTTCTCAACATAAGGTTCTGGACACCCATGCATACAGTGCTGTGTGCACCCACTCTTTATACACACCCATCTCCATGAGTGGGAGCAAAGATGAGTCGGCTGATGATTGGCTCTGGGATTTGCTGACGTGCCATCGTGATGACCCTGGCCTGCACTCTATCGTGTGACATGTCCTTCGCCTTGGGTGCTGACATGTCTTATAGGCACCAACCCAACTTTCGATAAAGAACTTGCTAATGATTGTAAATATATGACGAACCCCAAATCTAAGGAATCCATGGGTCCGTATCCATGGCGCAGCATCTTGGACTCCAAGCCTGTGCCCAAGCCAGTCACTCCACTCCTGGCCGAGCAGGTGAGTCGACCTCATGAACATGAGTGTGAACCTTGCTCCACCTCGTTGGATTCTCACTTTCAATCGAGCCTGGGCGACCTGATTGCCGAAGCAAAGCCAGTGGATTGCATAGCTTTCAAGCTGCCCACGCCCAATGCTGTGGCTGGAAAAGTTCTCCAACATGCAGTGAAAACTATGGAAACTTTGTTTTCCAAACATGAACCTATGATATGGAAAATAGGTTTCACTCACAGCCCAACATGGCGTTGGACAAATGAATTGTACGGTTACCAGCATTCTCGTGATAGATGGAGTAACATGGTTGTACTGTATGCAAGTTCAGAGCCCTACAGCCCTGCAATGCTGGAAGCTACATTGATCGAAAAATACCAATCATGTGCTTGAGCTGCAGCTATGCATGATGATTTGTATATAACTTATGATTCCTGCTATACATGGCGAAAACACCTGTCTGCACATACACATGTTTGTAGGCACCAGGTTTGGTTCCACAAGCAACCGGTGAAGTAAGTGTTACTCATGGGTCCAAAATATAGTCCACGCAAATGTAAAATTCTATTCTGACAACTGTTTCTGGGTATCCGTGTGTTTGGCCAGATGTTGCCCCCAAACCTTCGCAACGCCGAGGTAAGCAAGGCTGCAGGAATGTGCGAGCGGGTGGCGACTCAGTGAACACGACTTTGCAAGGGGTCTTTGTAACATATGTTGTGTTTCGATCTTTTAAATTCAAGCCGACACCGTGAGTTTTTGTTATAGACCCGTGTTGGCACCCTTTAAAGATATTGAATTGGTTTGTGCATCTTCTCGGGTGTGGGAACTTTAGCCACATGCGATGTGGTTGTACAAATCCCATGCCCTGAATCAAGGTTTCCTCAAAGTCTTTGCAACTGCGCCTGTGGAACAAAAACGGGACTGTCACAACTGCAAACCAGCCGTGGCCAATGGACAGTGATGACCGTGTGTCTCCTTGAGTTCTGAGGAATCAGCACCATATACATTGCCAACGGTAAATATATCGCATTAGCATGTCCACCAAAGTTCGTTTCTGAAAGAAACTTCCATGCACTCTGATGACGCACAGATTGGCAGTGCACATTAGACGATCCAGTTCTTAAATATATATACAGGGTATAGTTACTATAGTCGATGCAGTGGCCGCGCTGAGGCCATGACCTGCCGGTCAGCAATTCGGGTAGCCCAGGGCGTGGTTCGGGACGTTGGCGCTTCAGCCAGCAAGAGTTCGGGGCTAGCTGACTTGGCTAGATGCACCGAAACGAACAGTGAAAGGGACATGAATGTTTTGACCAGGCGCTACAAGCTGTGCCTCCCTGTTGAAATGTCAGTTATCAACAAGACGCCTGGTGTCCGCTACACGGGCGAATTCAACATGTTGAAGCTGACTGCCTGGATTCGCTTTCATCTCGAATACAACACGTGGCACCTGCTGGTCGGGTTACGCACCCCCAATCCTAAGAGAGAGAGGAACATCCTTTCTGAATGGTGGAAACGATATCGGCTCTTGCGACCTGAGCATGAAGTTTTCCGCATCATTGACGAGCAGAACCTTGACACGTCGCGAATGGTTCCTGCGCTTTTTCATGGCGACGAAGGTCGCGGCAAGAAGCGAGCAGCATTCCTGGTTTGCGCCATTCACTCCTACTTGGGGTTCGGAACGCTCCTGTCGAACAAGACACAGAAGTCTCGGCCTTTCCTCCGCGTGAGGCTGAACTACGCTGGCAACTCGCACATATCTCGCATGCTGGTGGCAGTGTTGCCCAAGATGTTGAAAGATGAGATCGCATTTCAAGATCTCATGGCGGCCATCACACAGGACTGCTTGGACATGTTGCTCAATGGCATTGTGAGTCCACATGATGGTCAAACATACAGGGTCGCTGTTTTGCAGGTTTGCGGAGATTGGATGTTTCTACAGAAGGCTGGCGGGTTGGCCCGAAGTTATGCCAATTGCCAGAAGAGGCCGTGGGCGGAAAACGCCATTCCACGTGGCATCTGCCACTTGTGCAAAGCAGGCCAGAGCAATGTTCCGTTTGAGGACCTGCTTGTAACTGCAAGATGGAGGAGCACCATGCATGATCCAACCGACAGCCCTTTCATTGGTCAGCCAGTGCTGCTTCGCCTGCCCCATGACCGGGCGCGGCCCGCAGGCCTTTTCGCCTTTGACCTATGGCACGCTTGGCATCTTGGCATGGGCAAGACATTTTCTGCCTCGGTATTGTGTATGATCGCAATGCAGATGCCTGCAAGCAACGTTGAGGACAGGTTTAGCTTGTTGACCCGCAAGTACCTTGAATTTTGTGACTCTGCTCACGAGACACCGTACATCTTGCAGCTCACGCATATTGGTCTTGGCTGGCCAGACACCAAGACATACCCCAACGCCCAGTGGAGTAAGGGGCACATTACAACATTGATGATGAAGTTCCTGGAGGACTACTTCAACCGGCACCCTTGTGATGCATCCGTGGATCCGCTGTTTCCCAAGTGCCGTGAAGCGGTCATTGCTATGAATCGGTTCATGGAGCAGCTGTACTCCTCTGAGTTGTGGATTGCTTCCGATGTTGCTTTGCCCTTGGCCCGTTTGGGCGAAAAGTTCTTGTCTTTGTACATGGATTTGGCCTATGAAGCATTCCATGCAGGGCGCCATCACTTTGTCTTCATGCCAAAGGCTCACATTTTGAGCCATGTCATTGAAACCATGATGACGGACTGCCAGTCCGGTGCTCCCTACGTGCTCAACCCGTTGACGCACGCGGTGCAGGTTGACGAGGATTTTGTGGGGAAGGTGTCGAGGGTGTCACGCCGCGTTGGTGTTGGACAAGTGATCCAAAGGGCGTTGCAACGCACGTTGATGGCGTCCTGGAAGCACTACATTGCCAATGGATTCATCAGAGCTTCGTGATTGATGGAGGAAAAGTGTCCAACCGGGATGGCCACTTTGGGGGTGGGGTGTTGAAGAACAGGTGTGTTGAAGTGTTCAAAGAAGAAGAAGTAAGATTTATAATGTTCAAGAAATCCAAGAAATCCAAAAACCCGTCTTTTTTGGAGAAGGTTGGGTTGTTGTCACTGGACCTGTTTTTTCAGCGGTCTTCGTTTCTGCTGGTAGCTTGAAAAGAACTCCCTTTGCATTTTGGGCAAGTGGTGTGTCTGCGTGCGCTCTTTGAAGTTTTTCGAAGATTGATGAAAGTTGATGTGGCCTCGGAGGTGAACGTTCGAGACGCCGGCTATGCAGCCCGGGGGAGACTGCATGATTATTGAGATCGTGGGTGTGTTCGTCCGTGTGTCCTGCCCGACCGAGACAGACCGAGACAGACAGACCGAGACAGACAGACCCAAACAGACCGAGACAGACAGACCGAAACAGATAGACCCAAACAGACCGACCGAGACAGACAGACCCAAACAGACCGACCGAGACAGATAGACCG